GAATGCCGCACTTATTCAAAGAGAAAGTAACTTACTAAGATGGAAAATTCTTGAGAGGTTCTATGTTGAATCTCATCAAAATATAAAACTGTTTCCTTTCCCAAACCTGCAGACATGACGATAAAAATGTTTAAAGATTAAAAAAAAACATTTAAATTCATAACGCCTTATTTAAAATATATAATACATAAATTAAACCCAAACTAAAATCATATAAATATTAATCACATTATAAAAATATCAACATAATTTTTTCTTAAATTATATCACTTAGCATCATCTATAATTTACCTAGACGTTTCCGTTTAGCTGACGAATATTTATGAGCGCCTCGTCAATTGAAACATTTTTAAAACTACCGCCATTTTTATTTCTGTTTATAAATACTTGTTACAACATAAAATCCTTATATTAGCCCAAGTCTTATATATCTATTGTAACCTAGGGAAGGAATAACCAAACGAAGGTTGTTAATGAATGATAATACTTAGGACAAGAACAATATATATAAGATTCGTTAGCGGCGCGTAGAAATAGTCAAGTGAATTCCATTGAATCTCGAACTGCAGGATATCTACCAACCGCCCACAAAAAAAAAAAAAAATCAACAATACATTTTTTACTTTTTTTTATAAAAAAATATTACCGTCAATACATTTTTGGAAAAAAATATTACCAGTAATACATTTTTGGAAAAAAATATTACCAGTAATACATATTTTGAAAAAATATTACCAGTAATACATTTTTTTTGCAAAAAATATTACCAGTAATACATTTTCGGAAAAATATTACCAGTAATACATTTTTGGAAAAAAATATTACCAGTAATACATTTTTGGAAAAAACATTACCAGTAATACATTTTTGAAAAAAATATTACTAGTAATACATTTTGGAAAAATATTACCAGTAATACATTTTTGGAAAAAATATTACCAGTAATACATTTTTGGAAAAAAATATTACCAGTAATACATTTTTGGAAAAAATATTACCAGTAATACATTTTTGGAAAAAAATATTACCAGTAATACATTTTTGGAAAAAATATTACCAGCAATAAAAATCTTGTCGGCATTGAGGTTGTACTGTAAAACAAAAACAACCAAACCAAACCATCCTAGCCATGAAAGCTAGAACTGACTGAACTAACGAATATAGTTCGTCTGAGCACTTCCCTTAGAATTAGCCACAGAGCAGTGAGAAGTTTGCCATATTTCACCTGTCAGACAGAGGTTGAAGGGTCGGAAACAATCTGTAACCAACAAGGAGTCGGGGACGCTTTTGAAATTAGTAAGATTTTTCTCACTAAAATAATTATTATTTTAATTTTTTTTAATTGAGTACAAAATATTAAGATTTTGGCATTGAATAACCAACCAACATATACATATTCACCTCTGTACTCCGTCCAAATGTTCATTTTAATTAGGATGAAGGTCCTCCAGATTTATTTTATTCACTTTTTGCTAACAGTATAACACGAACACGGGAAACTTCCTCTACTGCTCGTCATAGTCTGATTTATCTAGTCTTTGAATGAAGTAGGAGGCAGTTGAAACATGTCCGAATGTGTTTCAGGTAAAAATGTTTGCCTGGTTCACTACGTAAGCGACAAGTTGCTGTCAAACCGGAAATTAAATTTTTAGACTTCCGGATAATTTTCTCATGATGCGTCTTCCTGCTCTGTCTGTTTTCTGTGATTTTTTTTTTGATCAGCGAAAAATTGTTATTGTTTTCTTGCTATTATATTTGACGTTTCTTTTTATAATTTCATATCTTCTCGGCTAGTTCTTGAAGCATTCCACATGTTATTTTTCTTTTGATTTCATTTTTGTTTTGTTTTTTATTTTGCCTTTGTATTAATTCTCTCTGATATGACGTCTTTTGGTTATCTTCCAATGTTTCGTCTTAGAACAAAATCAAGCTGAATATAGAACAGGGATCTTCATAATTTTGATCTATAAACATGTTTTATCTCAAAGGAAGAAAAAGGAAAATTTTATAAATTTAACACGTTTCGCTTTTGTTAAAGCGTCATCAGAGATTGAAATATGGAAAACAAAAAACAGAAAGAGAAAAATTCTGATATGTGTAAATTTTTATGATTTTTTTTTTTTTTTTGCTTGGTTAAGCAGGCTTCACTTGCATTTGTCTTGTCAAGCAGCGTCATTGTGTATAATTCATGTGTGTAAGTGTATCTTAATTCTAGGTTGTTCATGCGGGTTTGGGTCTTTTTTGTTGTTGTTTAGCGGCATATCAACATCCTTATGGGTCATTTAATGCCAAAATTTAAATTTTCTGGGAGGCTTAGTAATTTCATTTACAAAAATGTATTGCTGGTATTTTTACTATGAAAATATACATTTTTATAATTTCATAGTGTTTTGACCCCAGTTTGTGGGTTTACGATTTGACCATAGCTAGGACCCGTAACAGGCGCTACCACCCGGGTTTGGGTGGACCTAGAAACAACAGCAATTAAAAGGTGGTATAACCTTCCGCAAAACCTCCTGATCAGAGGTCTTGCTACCGTATGTAGTTTATCGCCACACCCATACCGGGATTCAGTTGATAATATTTCTTTCTTTTTTTTTTCGTGTGGAGGGTGCGTCTAGTAGGGAGTTTGTTTATGTTTGGTGGTTTGGATTTGGGGTTTTTTTTTAACAGTATTTCAACTCTTTATAGGTCATTTAATGCCGAAATTGTATTTTCTTGTGTGCTTTGGTATTTTTTCCAATAATCTACTGCGGGTAATTTTTCTAATATATATTTATATATATTTTTATATCTTCTCTATTTGAATTTTTATATTTTCTGTATTTGAATCACTATTTGCCCATATCTGGGACCCCTAACAGGTGCTACCACCCAACGTCAGGTTGGACTTTGGAACAACAGTAATTAATAGGTGGTTCCATGCTCCTTAAAATCTCCCGATCAGATGCCTTGCTACCGGGTGTAGTATATCGTTATACCCAGAACAAAACATTTAGTGGTTCTCCGCATGTTAATTTGGGGACGTTTTATGTGAGATTAAAAAAAGAAATAACACCGGTTTTAGCAGTAGGTAGATATATCTTAGACTCTTTAAGCAAGAATTTTATAAAAGTTGATATAATAAATGTGTGTTTATGGAAGGTAGAATATTTAACGCAGCACGCTCGGAATAATTTCTGCGTAAAAGAATTATGTTCTTTTTTTTAATATGGATGGCATATATCTATATTTATTCTGTTAATGCCATTTCCTTCAAGATGCATGCGATCATTAATCTCCACAGATAACTTTGAACAGGGTTCTTAATAATTTTAATCCAGATGTAATCCAGAAAAAAAAAATATTGAAAAAAATCTCTTGTGAATCTAATATAATAAAACATGTTGGGGCACCTTGACTTGGTGTAATGGTTAGCAAGCTTGTCTTGCTAGAACCAGCTTACAGCAACGGCAGAAAAAACATCGTGTATAGCTACGCCAGTTAAAATTGTGCCAAAGATGACGCATTTATATCTATTTGCTTATTGGATTTTGTGAACATATGCGAAATTAGTTTAATTTTTAAGAGTTATTTCAGGATCATTATTCCAGGATCATTTTCCAACTTATTTAAGATGATCTTCGCCCTCTCTAACTTTCTAACTTTCTTTAAATTCATAAAGTTTAGGTTCTGTAAAGGGATGTTCATCCGAACAATTACCATGAAAATATTTATAAAAAAAAGGATCCACAAGATGCAATATCAAACATTATCTCCTGTCTTCTTAATTTGTGTTCTTTTATTGTTCTCTGTTCTTAATAATGTTTTCTTTTTCTCAACTTCGTTCATACTCAGTGACATGATGTGACCTTAACGCCAATCCAGTACTGCGCTTAAATTCGTTAAAATCATTATTATTAATAACGATTGATACTGATTTTTGAAGATTAAAATCAATCAAGAAGCCTGATGAGAGTTCCACAAGTGAGAAGTGCGATAGAAGAAACTGTTAACATAGAACCTACGGTTATATCTTGCCATTTTAATTGTGAAATTGTGAGACCTTACCGCCAATCTAGCACTGAGCTTAATTCATAAATCCTAGAGAGAAGTTCATCAGAATAATTACCATAAACATATTTGTAGAAAAGGCACAGAGAAGTTACGTGACAGGTACTTGCTCTCCAATCAACTTTGAGATGCAATTTCAATCATTATCTTCTTAAATTCTGTTTTATTGTTCTCTCTTCTTAATAATGTGTTCTCTTTCTCATTTTCTTTCACACTCAGTAAAATGATGAGACCTTGCCGCCAATTTAGTACTGCTCTTAAAATAATTATTAAGGATAGAGAAGAATAAAAGAAATGGAATTAAGAATTATTGTTAACTGGAAGAATTTAGCAAGAAATGGTTTCTTAATTCTAATGTCTCCAATACGAAACTGCTCTCTTTTTATCTGATCCTTCGAATTACCAAACTTTAGCTTTTTTCATTTTTTTTTTCAGCAAATGACTTGAGGCTCTAATTATCATTGAATTGGTTAAGGATTTCACATCACAGGGTCTTCTTTCAGACAAGAGGCTTTCGCTTCTCTATGTCAGCTGCTGATGTTTTCACGGTTACTGTCAAGCTTTAGCAGAGAATGGGGAAGTGCCGACTGTAGCTTTATCTTGAAGGCCTTTAACAGTGTTTGGTATGCTTGTTTTCTTCACTAGTTCAAAGGTTATGGTTTTTTATGGATTGAAAGTATTTCTAGAAAAGGGATATTTAGGCAACCTTGCACTGGTGGGAAAGTGACTGCTGCTGAGCCGCCAGATCAGGACGAATAATATTGCAGATTTTTCTTTTGATCTTATCAATAAAATAAATAGCAGGGGACTTTTCTTTACGTTGTGTTTTCCATGAAATTCATTTTGACCACCGTAATTACCATTATCTGTCGTCAAGGGTCACAAAAACCAGACAGAGAATGGCTAAGAACATAGCATATGCTTACCTCAGGGATAAAGAAGAAATATTAGAGAGAAGAAGGAGGAGGGGAGGAGGAGAAGAAGAAAAAAGGAGGAGGGGAGGGGGAGAAGAAGAAGAAGGGAAAGGAGGTGGAGAGGGGGAGAAGAAGAAGAAGAACAACAACAAGGGAAAGGAGGTGGGGAAGGGGAGAAGAAAATGAAAAAGAAGAAGGAGGAAAAGAGGTAGGGAAGAAGAAGAAGAAGAAGAAGAAGAAGAAGAGATAGGGAAGAAGAAGAAGAAGAGGTAGGGAAGAAGAAGAAGAAGAAGAAGAAGAAGAAGAAGAAGAAGGAAAAGGAGGAGGGGAGGGGAAGAAGAAGGAAAAGGAGGAGGGGAGAAGAAGAAGAAGAAGAAGGAAAAGGAGGAGGGTAGGGGAGGAAGAAGAAGAAGAAGGAAAAGGAGGAGGAGAGGGGAAGAAGAAGAAAAAGAAGGAAAAGGAGGAGGGGAGGGGAAGAAGAAGGAAAAGGAGGAGGGGAGTGGAAGAGGAAAAAGAAGAAGAAGAAATAATTGCTTTCCTGTTTCTTGGAAATTCTCTTCTGTAGCTCCAATCTTCAAGAACTCAGACGAACTGTCTGATCCTTCTCACTATCGGCCTATTAGCCTTCGACCTCATTTTGGCAAAGTACTAGAGGCTCTAATTAACTCTGAATTGATTAAGCATCTCACTCCACAGGGTCTTCTTTCAGATAATCAGACTTACGCTTCTCTAAGTCAACTGCGGATGGGTTAACAGCCTTTGTTGTAAAAGTCTGCTAATCTTTAGAAAAATATGGTGACGCTCATGCTGTTTTTTTGTTTTTTTGGACCGAGCGTGTGAGCAGCGATGTGGTCTTAGAGAGGTTGCAAACAAGGAGAAAGCTTTTATTTAATATCAGGAACAGGCAGCTGAAGTTTCTGGGACGCGTAATGAAGAAGGAGGGCCTAGAGAATCTGATACTCACGGGTCGAATAGAGCGAAAGGGAGATAAGGGTGGACTTAAGCAAGTGGATGACAGAACGTGGTCTGTGAGAGGAAGCAGAAGGTAGGGACTTCTTTATAGCTTCAAGGGATAAAGGGAGATGGAGAGTCATGATCGCCTACTACCTGAAAGGACATGACGCATAAAAAGAAAGAAAGACTATAAGTTCTAATTAACTCTGAAATGGTTAAGCATTTCAAATCACAAAGTCTTCATTCAAAGAAGCAATATAACTTTAGCTCCTCTAGGTCAGCTGCTGATGCGTTGACAATTATTGCCTACAATCTGTTGTTAACTGGAGCAAAAAAGGACTTGTTAATTCTAACGTCTTCAAAACGAAACGGCTATCTTTTCATCGAATCCTTCTAACTACCAATCTATTAGCTTTTTACCTTTTTTTCAGCAAAGATCTAGACTCTCTAATTAACAGTGAATTTGTTAAGCATCTAACCTCACAGGATCTTCCTTCAGATAAGCAGTATGTCTTTCGTTTCTCGAGATCAACTGCTGATGCATTAAAGATTATTTCTGAAAGAAAATATGAAGCTTTAGATAAGAACGGTAAAGCTCACGCTTGTTGGTTTGGCATATTCCTCAAAAGTTGAAAAATTATGATGCTTCTATTTAAGCATTTCACATCACAGGGTCTTCTTTCAGATAAACAATACTTTCGCTACTGCTGACGCGTTGAGGGTTTTTGCTGAAAGTGTCTATCAAACTTTACATAAAAATGGTGGAACTTGGGCTGTTGCTTTGAATATCTCGAAGGCATTTGACAGAGTTTTGCACATTTGTTTTCTTCACAAGTTTAAATGCTGGACGAAATTTTTAACTGATTTAATCTTTATGAAATGGCGAAATGATACCTTTTTTTTTTTAAGCGTTTCACCCCAAGCAAGGCGAGAAGCCACTAGGACGCAAGGGGTTACAGAAAATTTGGAGCAAGATCAGATAAGAGTGATAGAAGAAAGGATGAGGAGATGGATAGTGGATAGATCAAGGCAACTGGAGATATCGATTGACATTACATTTGAATAGTTGGAGATTATACTTCTCGGGGAAACTGGAATAGAGAAGGGAGTTCCACAGGCGAGAGGTGCGAGACATGAAGCTATTGGAGTAGAAGAGACGGCTACATTTAGTAGTTTCGACAGTGAAGGGGTGAGAGCGGGATGCCAGCCTCGTAGGGCGCTTGAACTCATGACGTCTGGGAACCAGCGATTGCATCTCCTCGGAGACATTGCCATGAAAGTATTTGTAAAAAAGACAGAGAGAGGCGACGGCACGTCTGTGAGAAAGTGACTGTAGACGAGATGACAGAACAGGGCCAATTATATTGCATATCCGCCGCTGGAGCCTATCAAGAACCCCGAGGCCAACAGTAGGGGCTCCAGACCATATATGGCAGCAATACTCCATGCAAGGGCGAATGGTGATTTGTAGATCTGAAGGATCGATTCCGGGGAGAAAAATTTTCTGGCGCGGCTCAGGGAGCCAACTTCCCTTGCGGTGGACGAAGCAATTGACTCAATGTATTTGTTCCATCTCAGGTCAGCAGTCAACGTGAGACCGAGAAGCCGCAGAGAGTTGCTCTCGAGAAGTTGAGCGTCAGCCATTCTAATGGAGGGCAGGGAAGGATCTCTGTGGTGATTAAAGAGAGCAGTTTTGTTTTTGAAACATTATGGTTGACCAGCCAATTCCTACCCCAGTTCACAACCGATTGGAGGTCCTTTTCGAGACGAACGGCCACGTTAGTTTTGTCAGTGACACTAGATTATTTTTTGTGGCAGGAACAAATTGTGGTGTCATCCGCGTAGTTGCCAACTTGGGAATTTATGGCGTCAGGAAGGTCATTTATGTAGATAAGGAATAGAGTGGAAGAACACCTGCGTTCGTGGGATAGAAACTGCATTAAAGTCTCTTTCCTTGGATCGACGTTCTTCCAAATTTATAAAATAAATGTCATCACTCCCAGCTAGGTATCTATGCTGATGACACAAATATTGACTTCTGTCTTAAAAGTAAGTCGGATCAGTTCGATATGGTCAAACTGGCAGCTGATTTTAAAAATTACCTTAAATCTGTTATTAAATGGGGCAAGGAATGATTTGTTAATTTTAACGCCACAAAGCAAAACTGCTCTCTTTTAATCATCTGAGATAACATTTTTCCATCCATCAACATGACTGTTTCTAACTTCCAGGGACTGACTCATTCCGCTCTTTGGAATTAACGTTTTCCGTTGGTATGGTGGGGAAATAGTATATTGCATTAATTGTTAAGCCTGCAACTAGGAAAGTTGGTTCTCTAGACAATTTTTCTATCCAGAATCTGCCTTAAATATTTATAAGACGACCATTCGTCGTTGCTCTGAATATTCCTGCCATATCAAGTCTGCTGATCTTGCTATATATTTAGAGATTCTTCATAAAATACGAAAGAGAATCTGAAATGTTGTTGGTCCTGACCTGGCACCTGGTCATCAGTCCCTTTCCCAGCGCTATGACGTAGTTACCCTGTGCCTTTTATAGATGTACTGTCATGGGGCTTACCTCGATGGTACCTAGAATTTAAGCGCTGTACTTGATTGGCGGAAAGGTCTCATCAATTTACAGTTGAAATGGCTAGATGGAAACGTAAGTTCTATGGTAACAGCTTATTTCGCTTTTAATTTCTTCTCTCCTTAATAATAATAATATATATATATATATATATATATATATATATATATATATTCTCATATGCTTTACCTTCTCATGCCGTCGATAAACTACATCCGGCAGAAAGGGCTTTGATCGGTAGGTTGGAGATTTTTTGAGGGCGTCGATCCATCTCTTAATTGCTATCTACCCTGACCTGGGTGGTAGCACCTGTTAGCGTCCCAACTATGGGTAAATATGAAACGCACCCAAAACAAAAATAAACAATACATTTTAGAATAAAATTACAATACATTTTATGATCAATATATATATATATATATATATATATATATATATATATATATATATATATATATATATAAGTATATGATTGTGTATACAGATTAAATTCCAATAACCAACAATTACTAGGTGTTGAAATAAATGGCTATTTTGTAGTGATTTTATAACATATTTATGTCATAATTTTAAATAAATAACTATATATATATATATATATGTGTGTGTGTGTGTGTGTGTGTGTGTGTGTGTGTGTGTGTGTGTGTGTGTGTGTGTGTGTGTGTAAAACATGTCTTTACTCTGAACGTATAAAATTATGTACACAATAAAGGAACAAATGACGAGCCTAGATGAATGGATGGCAAACAGGGTTTAGAAGAGGTTTACAAAAAGAGAAAAAGTACTTTACAAAGCGTAGGAAATCGTGGAGAGTCGTGAGCGAAATGATACGGCACTGAGAAGAAAAATATCATTAAAGCAAACAACCTAGCCGACTCGATAATACGAACTTTCGGTTCTGGTTCACCCCAAAATGGCCTTGATCCAAACTAAGAAAGGATTTTAATTAATTTTACCAATTAATTAAAATTCTAAAGTACTTATGGAAACTTAGTTTCAAAATAAATGAATTGCTTTAAAAATGAATTGCAATAAGCACCGACTCTTTCCACAGATTGTGCTTTCGTTGAGGTCGATGCAAATTTTAAGCACAAACAGGCCCGCCCACACAGGTTAACGAAATTAATTTATTAGACAATACGCTCGTATATTTTGATCTATCTATTTATCTATCTATCTATCGATCGATCGATTTATCTATCACAGTCTGTTTATTTTAATATATAGCTGTCCATTATCTATCGAGTTAATTCAATATTATCATATATCTCACTTTCTCTCTCTCTCTCTCTCTATATATATATATATATATATATATATATATATATATGCATGTTTCATAAAATAATATAGACAAGATTTGTCTATTTATTTTAAGTAAGTTCTTTTCGTATTGTCTGAAAAGCTTAATAACATTATTATTGAAAGACGAAAGGAAATCACCATGTTGATACATGTTTAAATCCAATCTAAGCTTTCGGCTTATATAAGCCATTATCAAAGATGACAATTACTTTTCAATATATCAACCAATACAAGGACAAAACAATGATGATAGTCTGTTTTTGTTGCATGAAAAATTTCAAAACAACGACTAACTGGTGTATACGTGACGCGGAAGCGAAAATCGCGTCGCAGTTCGTGACGTCACACATGACCACGCGAGAGTGAAAACGAGAAGTATTAAGTATGGAAAGCCGTTGGTATAAACCAATGGCTTCTGTTATCAATTATAGGCATTTAAGGATATTTGTGGAGATTTCGTAGTCTATTTTGTTCAGGTTACTTAAAATAAATAGAAAAAAACTTGTCTATATTATTTAATGAAACATCCATTAATGAAACATTGATGCCTAAATATACACAATATATATATATATATATATATATATATATATATATATATATATATATATATATATATATATATAGCATATATTTTGGCAGAATGTTTTCATTGAAATATGTTTCATTGAATAATTTAGACTATATATTTTTACATCACGTTTTTGCTTTTTCTAAGACAAATATTGTAATGTCCATCATTTTTCTATGATAAAATTGTTGTGTTCATCTGAATGTTAAAATTTGTTTGCAAGTGAAGTGAAAATCGACGAACTTTTGTGTTGCATGATTAAGCTTGATATAAAATGCAAGGGAGGTAACTAGGTAATGAAAGTCTGAGTGTTTTTAAAAAGTATTAAAATAGTTAGTACAAAAAACCTCTCTAATGTAAACATTTTAAAACATTTGTACAATATTCATAATTAATCTTATTAATGGTTGGTTTCAAATTAATTTTCAGATGAACACAATAAATGGGATTCTTTTTGTCCGGTAGAACGTAAAATTAATTTAATTAAAACCCTTACCCATAGGGCTTTAATGATCAAAGATTAAGTTGGATTTAAGATTAAGTTGGATGATGAACTCTGGTTTATTACTACTACTCTCTGTAACAATGCCTATCCATTAGGCATTGTTCCAGCAATAATTAAAAATAAAATTGTTGAATTCAATAAAGTTAAACCTGCTATAGTACAAAGATGTCCAGTGTACCTGCGGCTCCCTCTCAGAGATAGATATGCTAAGCAGGTGTCTGTAGCAGTTCGACATTGTTACTTTGCCGCTAACTAGTGTGTGGCTTTCTCTGTCAAGCCTGTCCATACGGAAGGACATTCTTCCTCCACATAATAATAGTTCTTTAATTTATTCCTTTAAATGTAGTTGTGGCTTACACTATATAGGGATAACGACTCAAAGGCTGGATGTCAGAATAAAGCAACACGTTTCAACGAAAATCCGCAATCTTAAGTACACTTCTTCAGACATTCTGACCAAGACATACAGGTCTTCCATCGCAGAGGACCTAATAAATAGTTTCAGTGTGGACACATTTACCATTTTTAGAAAGTCCCACTCGTATTACCACCTGAAGGTGTTGGAGGCCATTTATATTTTGTTCTTGAAGCCATCTCTGTGTATACATAAAGATTTGGCACTGGGACTCTAATTTTCATTTAAGCAATTTTTTTTTTAACCTCAGTACATATTCTCCCTCTATTTTCAGTGATAATTTATTGACCTCGATTTAGTCTGTTAAGCGAAGTACGGAAACCGTTTAGCTAGCACGTTTTTCAGTTTAATTTTTTTTTAAGCTATTATCATCATAAGTGGTAATAAAAATGTTTTTTTCATGGCGGTCATATATAAATTAATTTGGTTTCTTTGTAACTAGAGATGAGACCGGATGAACCAGGAAAAATATATTTTCTGGTGAAATAAATTATAGTCATGAAAACTTAAGGTTGACTCTTGCTTAATTATGTAATTAATATTCGGTCTTTTGTTACATTGAGCTCTCTAGATTACATCTTCTTTGGAATTATCCATACGGATTACCAAACCCTTCATTACCTTACTATATATATATATATATATATATATATATATATACCAAACCCGTCATTACCTTACTATATATATATATATATACATATCATCGCATCGCATCAGGTGGTAGTAAATGATGGTACTTTAACTTTTTAATATTTACTTACAAACATTAGATACATATATATATATATATATATATATATATATATATATATATATATATATGTGTGTGTGTGTGTGTGTGTGTGTTGTATATATATATATATATATATATATATATACATATATATATGTATATAATGTTTGTTTATATATATAAACACACACACACATATATATATATGTATATAATGTTTGTTAGTAAATATAAAATTTGTAGTACCATCATTTACTACCACCTTATGCATCGAAATATGAATGCATTAATGTAGCGGTTTTACATATGTCCGAATGTAACATACTATATATATATATATATATATATATATATATTAATGCATGTTTCATTAAATAATGTACACAAATTATTTATATATATATATATATATATATTAATGCATGTTTCATTAAATAATGTACACAAAGTTCCTTTCATATTCTCTGATAAGCTTAATAACATTATCATTGAAAGACGAAAGGAAAACATCATATTGATACATGTTTAAATCCAATCTAAGCTTTCGACTTACATAAGCCATTATCAAAGATGACAATTTCAATAAATCAAACAACACACGGGCGAAACAACAATGATAGTTCGCCCTTGCTGCATGAAAATTTTCAAGTAACGACAAACTCGTATATACGAGACGCGGAACCAACTTATTAAAAAATATCCCCAATGTTGGACAATTTTTGTCTTTATTGTCACCAGAAATTAAAAGAGTTTATGTAATATAGAATGTTAAATTAAAATTTACAAAAGATTTTATAAATTGTAAAATTTAGAAATCTTAATGAAAACATCTATTATGAAAGCAGTCAAAAAAGTAAAAATGAGTTTTAGTTTCGAGAGAGGGAGGGAGGGAGAGAAAATGATCGATGAGAAAGACAGATAGAGATTGAAAAGAAAAGAAAGAAAGAAAGAAAGAAAGAAAGAAAGAAAGTGTTATATACCGTAACTATGAATACTGATAGGTATGCTCTAATAGTCATAAATACGTTGGACACTATTGTAATTGGAGTTAATATGGTGTCTATGTAGTCCACCACTAGCAGTGGTTTACCTACTTCACGCCGCTGGCGAGTATTGTATTTTATTGATGTTATAATTACCATTTCATTTCCAACCTCCATTTTTGGTTATTCCTTATTCGGTAACAATTTCTATGTTACAGCAGTTCTCTTTCTTTTCTTCTATAAATCATCTTTATTCTTTTATTAACCCTTTCTTATACTTTCTTTCTTTTATTCCTTTTACTTGAATCTCACTTTAATTTCTTTTCGCCTCTTGTCTTCTTTATTTGTTAGATATCTCTTCCTCTCGTCCATTTTTTCTCATTCCTCTGTGCTCCTATCCCACGCAGATACCGCTCCAAATTCATTTTCTAACAGTAAACCTCTGAGATTAACGGCTTTTCTTTTTCTTGACATGCTTACAAAGATTAGTACTTCATGTCTTCCATAGAAAACATTTAACAAACGTCAGATCTTTACGTGGTCTTTGACATATCAATATTAACCACGGATATTTTGAAGGGTTACAATTAGACATAATTAAATCAGGCTTATTTTTTAAAATTTGATTGACGCTAATAGATGGTTCGGAGGACTAAGCCATCTTGTCAATGTGCGGCCAAGAATGGGAATAAAAATCTGAGATAAACAAAAGAACAAGTCATCAAACATTGGTTGTGGGAAGAAACAAGATGATTAACGGACTTTCAAGGTTTTTTTGTTTATCTGAACAGGACAGCGATGTTAAAAATATAATTACCTAGCGTTTAATATCTGGCCGAAGTATATACGACATCTGTCTAAAAAGCATGCAACCATTTAGCATGAGGAGAAAGTGACCAACCTAGGGTAATGGCGTTATATACAAATTGCAAATTTTCAAACACTTATGCGCATTTTTCATTTCAAATATTTATCCTATTTTATTTTCAACTTCCTGTATCTTTCTTTCTCTCTTTGCTTTTTCCCACGTTCTTTTTTCTTTCTTTCCTTCTTTCTTTCCCTTTTCTTTCTTTCTTTCTTTTTTCATTCTTTCTTTCCTTTTTCTCTCTTTCTTTATTGCTTTCTTTCTTTCTTAATCTTCTTTCTTTCTTTTCTTTTCTCTCTTTCTTTATTGCTTTCTTTCTTTCTTTCTTTACCTTCTTTCTTTATTTCTTTCTTTCCTTTTTCTCTCTTTCTTTATTGCTATCTTTCTTTATTGCTTTCTTTCTTTATCTTCTTTCTTTCTTTTCTTTTCTCTCTTTCTTTATTGCTTTCTTTCTTTCTTTCTTTACCTTCTTTCTTTCTTTCTTTCTTTCCTTTTTCTCTCTTTCTTTATTGCTATCTTTCTTTATTGCTTTCTTTCTTTCTTTATCTTCTTTCTGTCTTTCTTTCCTTTTCTCACTTTCTTTATTGCTATCTTTCTTTATTGCTTTCTTTCTTTCTTTATCTCCCTTCTTTCTTTCTTTCTTCCTTTCTTTTTCTCTTTCTTTATTGTTATCTTTCTTTATTTTTTCTTTCTTTCTTTATCTTCCTTCATTCTTTCTTTCTTTCTTTCTTTCCCTTTTCACTCTTTCTTTATTGGTATCTTTCTTTATTTTTTCTTTCTTTCTTTATCTCCCTTCTTTCTTTCTTTCTTTCTTCCCTTTTTCTCTCTTTCTTTATTGCTATCTTTCTTTATTGCTTTCTTTCTTTATCTTCTTTCTTTATGTCCCTTCTTTCTTTCTTTCTTTCTTTCTTTCTTATTTCTCTTTCTTTATTGCTATCTTTCTTTATTTTTTCTTTCTTTCTTTATCTTCCTTCTTTCTTTTTTTCTTTCTTTCTTTCCTTTTCTACTATTGCGTTATTTCTTCATATCCTGCTTGACGTTTCCTCCTTTTCTGTATTTATCTTCTTTGTTTCTTGTTTTCTTTCTTCTTCTTTGTTTCTATTTTCTCTTTCGTTTTCCTTCCTTTTTTCTCATTTTCTTTTTCTTTCTTTCTTTCTCTCTCTATTTATTTTCCTTCTTTTTCTTTCTTTCTTATGTTTTTTCTTTTCTTTATCTCATTCTCTCTCTTTCTTTCTTTTCTCATTTTTATTCTTTCTATATTTGTTCATATCCTTCTAGGCTTTATCCTCTTTTTCTCTATTCATATCTATTCTTTCTTTCTCTCTAGCTCTCTATCCATCTCTCTCTCTCTCTCTCTCTTTCTTCATTTCTCCTTCTTTTCATTCATTCTTTCTAGATGTTTGGATATACTCTTTCTTTCTTTCCCATGTTCATATATCTGTATTCTTTCTTTCTTTCTTTCTTTCTTTCTTTCTTTCTTTCTTCTCCCTTTCTGTTTTTCTTTCTCTCTTTTTTATTCGTTCTTTCACCACTTCTCTCTTTTTCTCTCTCTGTTTATTTGTTTGTTTCTTTCTGGCCCGGATTCCCATGACTCTCTTTCGCCATCGAAATCTATCGTTCCCCATATTAGACAGGTTAGAGGCCTTAACGTTCATGTCGTCACAAATCTGCACGATAACACCGTTGGCTTGTCAATTGCGTCTTTAGCTCCCCGGCAATGTTCTGCAAATCTAACTCTAAGCCCTTTGGCAAATGACTGACACTAAACAGAAGTTCCCATGAAATTATTCATTGCTAAAACGATCTCTCCAAGTGATATTCAAAATCACTATTAGCCTGTGAGTGTAGCCTAAATCCAATCTTCTTACCAGTTTTAAGCTTACGCTAAGCAGCCGTGCAATAGACATAGGTAACATTTTCTAGGAAGAGGTCCTTTACGTGTTGTCTGGAACTCCAGACATCCACACTAGAGATAACTTGTCGACGGCGCGCTAGCCTTTATCAATCATCATCATCAAAACTCTTTCGATTTGAGGTCATATTATCTCATCTTCATTGTATACTGATTCGACAATATTTTGCCAGCCTTCTGTCCTCTGCGGATTTATAGCAGATCTTCTTTTATTGTAAACTTCTCCAAAGGTAAAGTGGGATCTTCCTGCCTTGTTCTTTGAATGTCTCGATTATAGTGCTTCTTGGATGACCTCTGAACTTTTTCGAAGACAGCCTTTTCAAAGTAAAACTCCATGGTTTTGTAAGCTGGACATTATAATGGGTTCATTCGCAAAATGTTTCCAAGACTTTTCCATCTTGCTTTCAAAATGAACAAAGACAAATAAGATTTTTGAAATCTGCTGTACAAGTTCTTCTTGGAGATAGGATTCTGAACATTTTCTGAATATTGTCTTTCTCAGTATGCAACGTCTTAAATAATTAGTTACTTCGTAGCTGTAACTGGAGCGGCCATTACCAACTCCGCCAACAAGGCGTCTTTTATATCTCTGTCGATTTTACTACCTAGATAAGTAAATTATTCTACAAGAAATGTGTGTTAGATACTGTTCTAATTGTTCCATTCTTTTTAAGGTTATGTTTTCTGTTCAACATGGAGACTGATTCCTTGGGCTGAATATTCAAAACTACGCAGAAGGATTTCTGCTTGTCTAAATGATCAGCGTAATCTGCAACTGTACTTTTTTTGTGGCAGAATATCCATTACTTTGTGTATGTAGTTTGTACACATTGTCTTTAACGGTATCGACCCGGGGTTCTGAGAACGTAATCCAAGTAAATGATGACGATATGTGGCTCTAATGTGTCACCTCATAGCACTCCTGCACCAATTTCAAAGTAATTTGTATCGGCATCTGGAGATCGTATCACTGGATATGTTTTTTCAGAGTTCCATAATGGCTTTTACTGTTTTTTGCTTTCTTTCTTTGCCGTATTTCGACCTTTGTTTTTTATATTTTCATTTTTTAGCAGCTTTAGTGCTTTGTTTCATTCTTTGCTATGTTTGTTTGATTCTTTCTTTCTTTCTTTCCCTCTTTCTTTCTTTCTTTCTTTCTTTCTTTCTTTCTTTCTTTCTGTCTGTCTGTCTTTCTTTCTTTCTTTCCAGTATTTATTTCTTTTTTTCTAAACTTTCTCTCTTTGATATATTTCTTTCTTCTTTCCAGGTACTTCTTTCTTTCTTTCTTTTTTTTCCTATCTATTATTTCTTTCTTTCTTACTTTCTTTCTTTTTAGTATTTTTCTTTGATGTATTTATTTCTTCTTTATCTGTATTTTCGTTCTTTCTTTCTAGTATATTTCCTTGATGCATTTCTTTCTTCCTTCCAGGTACTTCTTTCTTTCTTTTCTTTCTTTCTTTCTTTCTTTCTTTCTTTCTTTCTTTCTGTTTTTTTTCTTTCTTTATTTCCAGAATTTTTTTCATTCTTTCTTTTTTCTTTCTTTCTTTCGTTTCTTTCTTTCTTTCTTTCTTTCTTTCTTTCTTTTTTTCTTTCTTTCTTTCTTTCATTCCAGTATTTCTTTCTTTCTTTCTTTCTTTCTTTCTTTCCAGTATTTAGTTCTTTCTTTCTAAACTTTCTCTCTTTGATATATTTCTTTCTTCCTTCCAGGTACTTCTTAATTTCTTTCTTTCTTTCTTTCTTTCTTTCTTTCTTTCTTTCTTTTCTTTTCTTTCTTAGTATTTTACTCTTTCTTTGATACATTTCTTTCTTCTTTCCAGGTAATTCATTCTTTCTTTCTTTCTTTCTTTCGTTTCTTTCTTTCTTTCTTTCTTTCTAGTATTTCTTTCTTTCAAGTATTTCTTTCTTTCTAGTATTTTTTCTTTCTAGTATTTCTTTCTTTCTTTCTTTCTAGTATTTCTTTCTTTTTTCTTTCTAGTATTCATCTCTTTCTTTCTTTCTTTCTTTCTAGTATTTCTTTCTTTCTCTCTTTCTTTCTTTTTTTTCTAGTATTTATTTCTTTCTTTCTTTTTCTTTCTTTCTAGTATTTCTTTTTTTTCCTTTTTCTTTATTTCTTTCTTTCTTTCTTTTTTTCTTTCTAGTATTTCTTTTTTTCTTTTTTCTTTTTTTTTCTTTAGTATTTCTTTTTTCCTTTCTTCCTTTATTTCTTTTTTTTTTCTTTTTTTCTTTCTTTTTTTTCTTCCTAGTATTTCTTTTTCCTTTCTTCCTTTCTTTCTTTCTTTCTTTCTTTTTATTTCTTTTTCTTCTTTCTTTCTTTCTTCCTTTTTTTTTTTTTTCTTCCTAGTTTTTTCTTTTTTCTTTTTTTCTTCCTATTATTTCTTTTTCCTTTCTTCCTTTATTTCTTTCTTTCTTTCTTTCTAGTATTTCTTTCTTTCTCTCTTTCTTTCTTTTTTTTCTTCCTAGTATTTCTTTTTCCTTTCTTCCTTTCTTTCTTTCTTTCTTTCTTTCTAGTATTTCTTTCTTTTTTCTTTCTAGTATTTCTTTCTTTCTTTCTTTTCTTTCTTTCTAGTATTTCTTTCTTTCTTTCTTTCTTTCTTTCTA